CCCAAGGGAAACGAAAACATTTGAGTGGTTTCCAGATTCAGGCTCTTAGGGGCAAGATGCTGTTATGAATATTCATGTTCGCGGCTTACACGGACATGTTTTCATGTCTGTTGGGTAAACACTTAGGACTGGAATGCCTGGGGTCACACGACAAGGGTTTAATGTTTTTTGTTGTTGTTGTTGTTGTTATTTAAAGATTTTATTTATTTATTTGACAGAGATCACAAGTAGTAGGCAGAGAGGCAGACAGAGAGAGGAGGAAGCAGGCTCCCCGCAGAGCAGAGAATCTGATGTGGGGCTTGATCCCAGGACCCTGGGATCATGACCTGAGCTGAAGGCAGAGGCTCCAACCCACTAAGCCACCCAGGCGCCCGAAGGGTTTAATGTTTTAAGAAACTTCCCAATAATTTTCTAAAGTGGTTGTATTCTCTCTGGCTTTTATTTAGTTAATTAATTTGTTCCTTATTTAATTAGTGATTTGTGTGTGGTTACAATATTCAAAGAGTATTTAAAAGCACGATATCACTACTGTCTCCCCAAAATAACAACAGTGAGAGTTTCTTACTGCTTTTTTACTTATCACTTTCAGAGAAATAAATTATCCATATACCAGCACTTATACACAAATCTTCCTTTCTCTTTAAACAAATGCGATCTTAAAATGCATTCTTGTGAATTTCTCCTTAAATAACGGCCTAGAAAGCCTTCCACATCAGCACATGGTATTTCTTCCTCAGAAGGTTCAACGGTTGATTTAATCAGCCCTGAAATCACAGGCACTAGAGCATCTCCGGACAAATCCACCTTCCCACCAGCAGTGGGTGAGATCAACCATTTCCCCACAGCCTCACCAACAGTGGCTTTTATCCAACTTTTAAATTTCTGATCGTTGAAAAACTATATTTTGTTGCTTTTTAAAAATTTTTAAAATATTTTATTTCTAAGTAATCGCTACACCGATTGTGGGGCTCGAACTCACAACCCCGAGATCAAGAGTCACGTGTTCCACCAACTGAGCCAGCCAGGCGCCCCCATAGAATTCATTGCTTTTGATTCTTAAATAGGAATGGGGTTGAATGTTCCTTTCACACACTTATTAGGCATCTTGATTTCTTTTCTCTAAACTACCTGTTCGTGGCCTTTTATATTTTTCTGTCAGGCTGTCTTTTTCTTCTTATTTCCCATTAGCTCTTAGTAAAAGAATTAGCCCCATGTCTGTTATGTAATGCTGTTAATATTTGTCCCAGCCATAAACCCGTTTGTGGTTTATCTTTTTTCCCTCACTTTCTTTCCAGGGCTAAAAAGCACAGACTCTGTGCTTCTAAATGAATTAAATGATGTATGGCAAGTTTACATTGTTATATGTTACGTACATATTTTTTGATGATGTGGTCACCCCCGACCTAGCATGCTTTTCCCCCCGCAGACATTTCCGTATCGCCCCATTAGGAGAACAATTTTTCAAGAGCTCCCTTTGCAGAGCCAGGGTAGGGCTTTGGTGAAACAGAGCCAGAAGCTTGAAAGTGGGAGTCACAGGAAGTGCAGTATCATTAACGGAAACGCTTAACCTCAGAGGACTCCTTGTCTTTCTCAAAGTCACACAAGTAGCAGGAGAAATGCCACCTTCCCACAGAGCACCAAGATGATCTCTGGGGCCGTGTTGCCATGTCGAGACCTGTCCTGCATTCTCGCGCTAGTACAGGACCATCAGGCCTGGACGAGAGCCAGGGCTGGATCCTCGGGAGCCATGGCTGACCTGTCACTGAGCCGGACACATGCACTGGGTAGAGCCGGCCTCCTGGGGACAGTGCTACAGGCCTGGATGTGCCCTGCACTGAGTTTTAGCACAGACCCCGGAGCTCTCTGGTCTAGCCTGGCACCCTTTCTGCCACAAAAAATGCAAATCTATAAAAAAATCTTTGTGTTGACAACAGATCTTTCTCCTTTCGAGGCCCTTAGGTTTTATAACCTGCTTCGAAAAGCCTCTCTCACACCAGAATGATGGATGAACTCATCTGTATTTTCGTCTACAACTTTTGTACTGTCCCTTTTTATAGTTTTTCTTTGATCGAGCAAATGTATCTTTTATAAGGAAAACTAGCCACAGGGATGAACCTTGAGGACGTTATTCTCAGTGAAGCAAGCCAATCACAAAAGGACAAGCACTGTACGAGGCCACTTACAGGAGGTGCCCAGACTAGTGGGGGGATGAGATGAAAGCTGAATGGCGGCGGTGGGGCGCCCGGCTGGCTCGGGGGCGGGGCGGGGCACGCCGCTCTTGATCTTGGGGTGTATAGAGCTTACAGTTCACAAGATGGAGAGAGCTGGGCGGATAGTGGTGGTGACGGTTGCAGGACAGCGTGAATGTACTCGACACTTAAAAATGGTGACGATGGTCCATTTTATGTCAAAACTCACCCAACAGGTCACTGAAGAATTTGTGCCTTTCCCTGAACATAAAGTATGAACGGGCAGTAAACTCACATCTTTATTCTTCACCTAGTTGCCATCTAGCACGTAACGGGCAGCTCTTTCTAGAGCCCCCATGGGCCCCTGGCCCAGCCACCGTTGCTAGTGCGGTCACCTCCTTCCTCACTGGGCTTCCAGCTCTGCCCTCACCCATCCACCCCTACCCCGCAGCCTGTGAAAACCTAAGTCTGATCACGGCCCTCTGCTCAGACCCTCCCATGGCTCCGGCTCACTCAGACTGAAGGCGAAGTGCATCCTTTCCCAAGCCTATGAGCCTCCCAAACAGCCCTGACCTCACCTCCTCATTTCCTCCTCGTCCCCCTCTGCTCTGGCCGCACCCGCAGCCTCTCCTCACCTTTTCTCAGCCGTACGGGGCATTCTTCATGCAGACTCTGACCTCTGCCTGGGATGCTGTGCCACCAGCCGGCCGCCTGTCTCCGTCCCTCACTTCCTGCCTGTGTGTTCAGATGTCACCTCCTCAAGGAGGCCCTCCCTGACCACTACATGAAACAGCCAGTGCTCTCTCCCACATACGCACTCCCTTGTCTGGACCCTCTTCTGCTGTGTATCTCAGCATTGGACTCACCACCCCTTCGGTATCCGCAGCTCGGTGTGTGCCCGTCTACCTCCCAGCGGAACGCCAGTCCCAGGGTGGCAGGAATCTTTGTCTGGTTCCCGGCTGTCACGGAGCCCATGCCCGACACCTCGGGGCTGGCTGAACTCATGGATGAGCGTGGACACGGCCTTCGGGGCCTCGGGGGTGTACATGGAGGCTCTTGGCATCACTCCCATCTTCCCCAGAGGAATGGTAAAGGCCCAGCCTTGCTCCCAGCACAGCCCTGAGCAGAATGCTGGCCCCCTCCCAGAGAGGGGCTGGGAGGCTTCCTTTCGGACAGCCGACTTGCTGGCATCTCCCTGGTCCCCATCCCTGGGTGGCCCCCAACTTCAGGCCAAATGAGCCTTCCAGATTCTACTGCCAGCCTGGGCGAACTAGAGGGAGTGCTACATCTCGGGAGGTACTCAAAGACATTGGCCGGATACAGCTTTTCCATGGAGGGAGAAGGGAAAAGCACCCAATCGATAAACCTAGTACCCAGCCCTCTCTGTGCCTCTACTCGAGCACCGCATTCACTCCCCTGTCCCCAGATGCCTTCTTCCCTTTTGGTCTCTCCAAAGGTCACCTCCACTGACCTTTCAGAAAACCTCGCAGGGGAGGGTGCTGGGCAAGAGAAAAACTGAATTTGTAGCTGAAAAACCTGCTTCTGTCTGAGGGGAGGGGAGGAAAGGGTTTTCCTCTTCCAGCTGCTCTTCGAAACGAACTAACATTTTCAGATAAATTCAGGTCACCAGTTACCTGTTCCCGAAACTTCTGGAAACCCCAAGATCTGGGGGAGAGCCTCTTGCGTGGGTGGCAGGCCACGGACAAAGAGGACACCTTGAAGGCATTTTTCGTCACGGAAAACTGATGATCCTTGCAGGATTGACAACACTCGCGCCAGGCTGGGAGTCTAGGATGGCGAGGTGTTCTCTGGGGGGGGTTGGGGGGGGAGGGACCCTCTTCTCAAATAATCCAAGACCTCACCTAGAAGCGCGTCTGCAGACTTAATTAGCTACATTTTACTTTGTAACATACACGTTTACCTTTACCCATCATGGCAGCACCTTTTAACACAGTGAAGACCCAATGGGCCCAATTTTGAAACCAGGTGCTGGGGAGTCCCCGGCTCTCCTCACCTTGAGAGGCCAGCGCGCTCCTGCTTTTGCACAAACGCAAGGAAAACCTCCACGTGCACGGATGCGATGCACAGGAAAGAGCCGCCGGAAACGGGTTTCTTCCCTCCTCCCCGCCCCGCGGCCAGGCATCTTCAGTTAAGACTCACCCAGGTTTTTGGAATTAATTGTCACAAGACATTTATTTTCAAGTTGGAATGATTAACAACATCTAACAACTGTTCACATTCCCGAGCACAGAAACTGAAGTCAGGAGAGAACCCCTGGGCTCATGGACGGGCTAAAACTCCGCGGGAGGAGAGGATTACTGAGCGCCACGAGAACGGGCGGACGGGGTGGCACACGGCTGAACACCGCAGCGTACCAGGGGCTTGGGAGTTACAAACGGAGACTTCTTCCAGAGTGCTGCGCTACAGAGCATGCGCGGGACGCCGCCTCTCCCACTCGCAACCTGGCTCTCATCAGCCACCCTTACAAGAAGTTCGGCTGTATGCAAACAGATGGCAGAAACAACTCACTGGAGACCTGCGCAAAATCAGGCTCACTTAGGAACACAAAGTAACATTCTGATTGTCTCCTATCTGACGGGTTTGGCTTAGGACGAGTTCAAGTTCCAGCTTTTTTTTTTTTTTTTTTTAAGACATGAGAAAAATAGATTGGGATTACATCTTTGAGCATGCCTTGGGCCTCCTGGGACACTGTTTGAGAACCACGGATGTTGGGTATCCCGCCCCCTTCCCCTACACACACAGACACACACATACACACACAGACACGGTATGCTAGTCTATTTGGAGAACAGCAATTAACAGCCGACTTTTTAAAGAATTTTTTCCCTTTCTTATTATAATGGGAGACGTGTTGTCAGCCCCGAAGATGTGGAGGGTTTGGTGGCGCTGGATGGACTTAGGGCTGGGAAGCCAACAGTGCCTGAGTCCTTCCCTACCGATCATCCCTCCTCCCCACAGGCTTCCTGAGAGCATCTGACTCCAGATGGGAATCCAAGTACCGGTTTTATTGACAGAACCTAGATCTCAAACACTTCAAAGCCTAAGCGCACACTCTTGTCCTCCAGAACTAACTCCTGGGACCTTCCTGCCCTCTGGCCAAGTAACGAGGATGGAAGCGGAAGAACACGGGCACCAAGAAAGGCAGGTCTGCTTTGAAGATGTCCGCTTAATTTCCTGGTGGGCGAAACACAGAGAAGATGGGAGAAAACTCCAGGCCCTGCATGCAGACGCCGGCTCACTCTCCAGGAAGCAGGGAACAAGGATGAGAGGCAGAACATGAACGGGGACCCTGCCTTTGTAAGGAAAAGTGAATATTCTAGGATTTTCCCAGTCTGCTTAGTGACTCTCCAACCTCTGAAGGTGAGTCGAGGGGGAGGGGCAAAAGCAGGGCTGGCAGAGAAAAGAGCAGAGAGGTGCACCTCCCTCCCTTAATCTCTCCCACCTAAGAGCTTGCAGATGGTTTTCCTCCGAGAGTCCCATCTCCCCAAACTGGGTTCCTGCAAGTCAAAGTCATGGTGCGTTCAATAAGGAGAAAAACTTTGCTCCCCATTGGATGCTTCGTCCTTGGTCTTCCTTCAACTCATCACAGGTGGTTCCCCCAAATCAAGGCTTTCTGGGTTCTGTGGATAAATTAGAAGACCTCACCAGGGAAGGAGGTGTTCTTTGGAATTTCTTTCTTACGCCTTTGGACCTTTTAAGTGCTTGAAAATGTCTATCCCCCAACCAGGCTTCCAGAAAACTTGACCCTCCAAGTCATGGACCCTGACAGATGTTCTTACTCCCCACTATTCGATCCTGATCAAGGGAGTTGGGTTGGAGGACGTGGCAGGATGACCTGAGACCCCCATAGTGACACTCACCAACAAAGGAGAGGTGGGGGGCTCGCCCTTCCACCTCCTGCTCATAGGTGTCCCCAAGGTTGGCCTTCAGGGGCTTCTAGGAGGAAGGTCAGGGCTTCCACCCTCTAAAACCTCAGCTGGTGGGCCACCCGCCCCCTCCACCGCGCTGGCATCCTGCTCGCGCTCCACCTGACCTGCGACAGCCCTGAGCGCCTGTCGCTTCTGCTCGGATTCTCCACTCAGCCGTTCGCCGGCACAACCCAAGTGACTTCTGTTGCCATTCTGACCACCGGAGGCCTGAAGAGAACCTTCTGGCTTGGCCTTTGGGCCCCGAGACGTGGAGGCCAGCAACCCCACCGGCTGGGGGCCTCGCGGGGCCTTCTGAAGCGACCCATCTCGTCTTGAGCCCGGCCCTTTCTTCCCCATCACTGGCTTCTTCTTGGCATCTTCTGACTCGACAAGGACGTACGAAACAGGGCCCAAGCTCACCTTCTTCTTCTTTCTCACAGGCGCAGGGCTCTTTGCCAAGGCCCAGCCCATGGCCTTCTTCTTTGGGGGGCCCTCCCGACCGCCACCTTGGTCTGACTGCGAAGCAACCCCAGGGCTCACCGCTTCCGACCGCGCGTCATGGGATGAGCTGCTGGGAGCCCTCCAGGCACATTTTGCCACGGGCTTCTTCAAGGCCGACTCCTCCTGCTTCACACGTAGCTTCCTTTTGCTCCTGATGGAATCGGAGACCTCCATGTTTTCAGCCCCAGCAGCCTCAGGATCCTCCAAGGAGGCCGAGCTGTTGAAACGGCGGCCTCTGGGCTTCCTCCAGAGCACGGATTCCTGCTTGGGTCTTTTTTTCTGCTTCTTCTTCCTGGAGCGACTTTTAGCTCCAGCCCTACGAACCAGAGGTTTCAGAGGGTCACCTTCGTCTACTGGGTTGTTGCACCTGCCGAGATTCTCCATCTTCAAAGCGGAACCTATTTCGGCAGCCCACCCTGGCTCCTTCTTCACCTTCCTCAGCGCGGCTGAGGCTGAAGCTACCTGGTCATCAGCCCCTTCTTGAGCCCCGGCTTCTTCGCGGCTGCGGATCTCAGCATCCATATAGAAAACGATCTGCACCACTGCCCCCAAGAGCACCCCCAAAGCGTCTGCCCAGTTCTGTGGAGGCCGATTCTGGGGCCGAGAGGGCTGGCCAAGCTGGAGCAGGCGGACCACATCCTCCCAGGTGCGCCCCTCGGAATCCAGAAATTCATTCAGATTTTTTAAAAACTCAGCATCCTGGGTGGGGTCTCTACAAATCACTCTCCAGACGCCCCCCCTCCCTGGGAACTCCCGCGGGATGGCCCTGAGATTCACACCCTCTCCCACCTCAATCAGGGCAGCTTTGGCATTCTCTTCCCGAAGGAAAATCTTATTGAGCACAAAGTATGGGCCCAGCGGGGAGAGGACCCTATTCAAAGTCTCCTCAATTTCCGCTTGACCACAGTCCTCGGGGATGCCCGTGACCAACAGGGACCTATGGATGTCCACTTCCATCCCCCGGCACCAGTCCTCCAGAAGGTTTATGGCCATGGTCACGGACACCTAGCGTCTCTAATCCCACGTGCACTCGACAGTCTATAAGGTGGCCGAAGGAGGCAGCGGTCCCCAGATATTAATCCTGTAAGGTGACAGGAGAGGGAGGTCAGATTCCCCAGAAGACGGCCAGGCTCAGAGATCTCAGCGACCCCCCTGCGCGGCGGGCCTAAAGGCCTCCTCCCGCTTTCCCAGGCCCCTCCTCCCCAAACCCGGCCCCGGGGTGCTCACAGGTGTCCTGCGACCGGCCAAAACCTGCGCTCGGCCCTGCCCCAGAGCCTGTCCGGCGGCCTCCCGGCAAGATCTCGCAGCCCCGCCCCCGACTGATCGGTCCGGGGACAGGTCGCAGGGATGCCGCCGCTCGCCAGGAGCCGGCTCGGCCCACCCAGGTCGGCTGCTCCCCGGGAACGGGCCGAGGAGCGGGCTTCTACCCCCGCTCCGGGACCGGCGGGTCACGCGTCGTCTCCTCCGGATCCCGGGAGCTGCGCGGAACCGGGGCCGGCGTCGCAGCGCGCGCTTGCGCACTTGCGTCCGCGCCGCTCCCGCGGTCGCCATGGCAACCGGCCAGCGCTCGGGATGCGCCCTCCCGCCTGGGGAGCCCAGCGCGAGAGTTGGGGTGGGGGCGTTCAGCAGCTCCTCGAGCAGAGGGTCTGCGCGTTCGTCGATTGTCCCTCCAGACGCACTCTTTCCACACTTCAGTTGAACGTGGGCCTCGGGGACCCGGGCGGAGTGTCCTGACTTCCACGATGGCAATCAACTAGTCCTCCTAACCTCTGCCTTTCTGCTGGGTTCTGCCCACGGGACCCTTGGGAACCACCAGAAACCCGAGGGCGAGAGGAAAGAGCCGCTTAACCGCCCCCCCACCCCCCGAGTTCCTCTAACAAACAAAGCCACAGCTCCTGACAGCCCTTTCATTCGCTCACCGTTATCCTAGTTCCAGAAATATCTAGGAGCTTCTAGAAACTCCCACCTTCCGCCCCACATGCCCTTCACGCCTGGGTATAGTGCCTCGCCTTTCCTTGGGGCTTCCTCAGCTTGCTGCCCACAGGCAACACCTTTGTTGATCGTTAATGAAGCGCTTCTCAATGACTCCTTAGAGGTGCTGTTTCCTGTCAGGACTCAACCATACACCTGGCAATGCTGCTTACTGGCTACACAGCCTCAGAGACTTTGAGCTCTCCAAGCTCCCTCCTCTTTTCCCTAAAAGGAATACCAACAAAAACCTTCCTGATCAGCCCTCTGAAGATTCAGGGACATCACATATGAAAGATGCAGCGAAGTACAATTGTGGCCTAAGTATTCAACCAAAATCTGTGATTTGGATTCCATTTTGGAATTGGGGCCTTTGCAAGACCAAATAGCCAAATGCGGCTCCACTGGCATCCCTGAACTTGGGTGGGATTGACCCTTTGAGTTCGAGGCATGGCTGTGCTTGCCCAAGATCCCATGATATTAAATGAAAAAAAAAAAAAGTCATTCATATTGTTAAATCTGAATATATCATTCCAATAAACACTCCAGCTATAACTAGAGTTTTAAAATCTTATGTAAAAAAATAAAAATAAAAATAAAAATCTTATGTACCTCACCTGTGAAATTCTATTAATCAGCTGAAGAATGAATGTGTATCATTGCACAGTGGTTTTAAAATGTGGCTGTAAGTTTTTTGATATTCCTATTGAAAGGTTGTGATCTACGTCCCTCTTATTGAATCTGAGCAGATGTGTAAATTCTTTAACCAACAGAGAGTGTGGTCAAGGGGAAATGATTGGGCCAAGAGCATCACGGAAGGGAATCTGTGTGACTTCTCATGTAATAAAGGGCCATGCGACTTCTTCCTTGTTTGTTGAGACCCTCCCATTCTTGGATCCCTGAGCTCCAAGTAAGAAGACGGTCAACTAGCCTCTGGCCGCCATATTGTGAGGAAGCTCAAGCCAACTGGCGAAGCCACATGTGTGTGCTCCGATCGATAATTCCCAGCTGAGCCCAAACTTCAGGCCATCTTGGCCCAGGCACCAGACATGTGAGTAAGGAAGCTTCTAGATGATTCTAGCTCCCAACCATTTTACTCACTCCCAACCATTTACATCTTCCCAATTGAGGACCAGCCATCATGTAGCAGACACAAACCATCAGTGCTGTCCCCTGTGTGAATTCCTGACACACAAGAGTCAATGAATGTATCAAAACAGTTGTCTACACTGCTAAATATTGGGGTTGCCTATTAGGCGGCAAGAGATCATTAGAAGATCCTGCAAAGGTGAGCTACAATGAGGATCAATGATGACTGATAAAACCTTACTACAAAAGAAAAGAAAGCAACAGCCTTAAGTCGGCTCCTCAAAAAAGATTCCCTGAAACAGCTTTTTCAAGCAGGACACAAGGATGCACTTTCATGGGATTTTCAGTTCTGTGGGATTGTTTCAGTGAAATAGCATCATCACCATCAACCAGACCTTCCAGCTTGTGAGCTGAAAGGGAAACAAATTTTCTACTGTAGTCAGTTATTTTTAGCAAAGAAGGAAATCTTTTTTTTTTAAAGATTTTATTTATTTATTTGACAGAGAGAGAGAGATCACAAGTAGGCAGAGAGGCAGGCAGAGAGAGAGGAGGAAGGAGGCTCCCTGCTGAACAGAAAGCCCGATGTGGGGCTTGATCTCAGGACCCTGGGATCATGATCTGAGCTGAAGACAGAGGCTTTAACCCACTGAACCACCCAGGCACTCCAACAAAGAAGGAAATCTTGATAGTTTGGTGATATGTCACCATCAACAACACTGGTCAAAAATGTCTTGTTAGCCATCTGTGCTACTAAGTGACGCTAGTGAATACATTTTGAAAAAATAAAGTTGTGATATGAATTTAAAGATTTTGATAACATTTCAGATTTGTTCCTATGTTGCCTGAAGTTTATTCTATAATGGCGATCTTTGCCTGTGACCAAATACTCAGCCACTCAGTATTTTGTCAAAATGTGTATTTGGTCTGGACACACAGTCAGCTCTTTTTATTATTGTAACAGGAGTCCCGAGGGGCCTTCCCACTGTTGAGCAGACTTTTCTTTTATGCTCTCTCCAGTGAACCAGGATGGTTGAACTGGTGGGTCCCAGAAAGCACCAAGAGGGTATAGCTTAACTGCTACCAAATGGGGTAATTTCATTAGAAAATTCTGGCAACTTGTAATGAAATCTAGCGCTAACACAGGCAGCTGTTGTAAATTTGCTGATTGAGAATAGATCAATTGAGAAAGCACAAAAATGCCCAGCATTGATGAAGAAAAGAGCAGGTAGAACTCTCATACAGGTACATGGCTGGTGACAATGTGAATTTTGGAAAACTCTTTAGCTGTATCTACTAAAGCAAAATGTATGAAAGCTCTACAACCTAGGAACTCCAATCCCAGATGCATATACCCAACAGAAATGTGTTCACTAAAGGTCGTGGGGGTTGGGGGGAAGGATATTCATTGCAACACTAGTCATAAGAGCTGTGATCTTGAAGCTACCCAACAGAATGGATAATTGTGGCATGTTCCCACAATAAAATACTACTCTGTTAGAAAGGATGAGCTACGACTACACTCAACAGTGTGGACAAATCTTGCAACTATGATGTTATGCCAAAGAAACCAGACACAAAAGCATGTACGGTATGACCCCATTTATTACATGAAGTTCAGGAGACAGACAAAATCGATCTAGGCTATTAGAAGTCGGGACAGTGGTTTCCTGTGGAATGTCCTGATGACTTGAACTAGTGAAATCAGCAAATGAGAAAGAATAGATAGGTTGGAGTCTCGGAGAGACCAGGCATGAGCTTCAAGTTGTCTCTCCCAGTGGAGTCATATGAACAGCGTTGACTTTTTCCAGCAACAATGGGTGACAGCACATCACACAGTATTGCCCACAGGTCAGCTCACCTGAGCCACAGTGTGCACCATGTTTATTTCTGGGTCCATCACATAGGTGTGGAGCCCCTGTGTAGCTGAGCTCACTCTGCCTCTTTGACTCCAGAGGTCAAAGTGATAGTGCATGGCTCAAGGCCTCCATGATGAATGGCGTTGTTAGTATGGGATTCTCCAAGCGCTTAGAAGTCAACTAGGAGTGGGTCAAGAGCCAGTCATTTTGGGGTGCCTGGGTGGCTCAGTCATTAAGCATCTGCTCAGGTCATGATCCCAGGGTCCTGGGATTGAGCCCCGCATCGGGCTCCCTGCTCGGCAGGATGCCTGCTTCTCCCTCTCCCATTCCCCCTGCTTGTGTTCCCTCTCTCACTGTGTCTCTCTCTGTCAAGTAAATAAATCTTAATAAATAAATAAAATCTTAAAAAAAAAAGAGTCAGTCATTTCCTTGGAATGTGCAGGTTTGGACAACCCAGGCCTACTGAGTTAACCCCTTAATGCATGGATGCCTATCAGTGTATCCATCAGGGATCGATCAGAGAAGCAGATTGCTAAGTGTTCCAAAAACACATATAAGATACATAAATAAATGTTTGAGATTAAAGATTTTAATTTGGGGTGCCTTGGCGACTTACTTTGTTAAGCGTCTGCCTTCGGCTCAGGATATGATCCCAGGGTCCTGGATCAAGTCCCAGGTCGAGCTCCCCGCTTAGCAGGGAGCCCCCTGCTTGTGCTCCCTGTCACGCTCTTTCAAATAAATAAATAAAATCTTTTAAAAATTAAAAAAACACAAAATTTTAATTTGTTTTTAAATATCAAAAGGAATATATAAATAGATATATTTGTAAACATACAATGACACATATGTATGTGTTTGTGTGTGTATGTGCACATGTATGGGTAGGTGAAGGCGCTTGTGTGCACATGCGTGTGTGTGTTACATAGAGTTAGCTATCTGCTCCCTCTCCTGCCAGGGAGCCATGGTGATTACCAGCAGATCTAAAAATACTTTTGAAGCCCTCTGGATGGAAGTCAGTGCTGTGGTTTCCATGACAACACATCCCCCGTCCCCCCTCCCCCACTGCAGCCCCAACCGTTCCTTGGGTCTCTGCACTTCCGGTCTGGGGTCACCCTTCCAATCCTCTTCCTTTCTGTTCCAACTTTGGGTTTCTATTTTGTGTATGTGCTTTTTATTTTTTATTTTTTTAGATTTTTATTTATTTATTTGAGGCGGGGCGGGGAGAGAGAGAGAGAGTACACGAGGAAGGGAAAGGAACAGGGGGAGAAGCAGACTCCCCGCTGAGCAGGGAGAGCACTGCGCAGGCTGGATCCCAGCACTCCAGGACCATGACCTGAGCCGAAGACAGACGCTTACCTCACTGAGCCACCCACGCGCCCCAGGATTTATTGTTTTAATTCTAATCTTTCTCATAACATGTAATCCCTTCCATAACAGTTAAGGGTAAAATTCATATTGTCGTATTGAGAAGAAAGAGGTGCCTCTTTATCTTATTAAAATATTTAACCAAAAGAATATATACTGTGTTCTCTATTTAGATCATTATTCTCATAATTTGAGAACTGTCATTATTAAATATTTAGTTAAATGGACAAAGGTATAAATTATACCTGAAGCCAGTCCCCCCACCCCCCGCAACCTGCCCCCCAGCTTGCGTGGAAGCATTCCCTGTCCACTTCGGTCTTTCTCAGCTGTGCTGTTCTGTGAACCATACCTTAGGATGTGTGCATTTGCTGTTTCCTGACCCCTTCATGTGTTCCCTTCTTGTCATTCCAAACTGTCCAGATGTCACTGCCTCTAAGAAGTCTTAACAGACTCCACCAGTTTTCCTCTCACACACACTCACCAAAGTCACTATCACATTCCATTCGTTCATTAGTGTATCAGTTAGCACTTGCTGCATAACAAACAGCCCCCAGAGCAGTTTAAGGATAGTGATTTCCCTAAAATTGTATTCCTCATGGCAACATTAGCACCCCAAGGTATGCACTTTCTCTGTCTGGCTCACTATTATACTCTCAGAACCTAGACAGTGTTTGCCACAGAGAGACATTAAATTATGCTTTGGG